GGCACCAGGTCTAGAGAAAATATCTTGGATCCTACAGAAAGGAGAGGCGTTCGAAACCTGTACTAATTCAAGAATACTAACATTAACGGGCCAAGGGCAAAAAAGAAAAACCCAGCCCCCACCCTTAAACGAAACGAATGCCGACTGGATAAACAGTCCTACCGACCAGACCCAAGTTCAAAACTCACAAGAACATACTTATGGCACATCGTCAATACCAAGGGTACACCAAACAAACCGTCATACCTACCGGTCCCGCGTTTGAGACTTTCCACAATAAGCCCACCCACTGCTTCAAAAGACGAAAAAAACAGTCCACCGCATGACCCCCTAGTGAACCAAACCACCGTTTCATAGGACAGGAAAAACCCAATCCGCAGCATGGCCCCCTAACAAATCAAATACAAAAACATAGCAATCCACCACTTCAGAAGACGGACACACCCCAGTCCGCCGCATGACCCCCTAAGAACGGGGGGAAAAAAGACGAACACAAGGACCCCTGTTCCGGACGAATAGACGATCCCACCTGGTCAGCAAGGGAAACCAGTGCCTCCACAATCCCCCATACTTTCGTGAAAAGTGCCACAGAGCCTTATCAAAGACTTCCTCAGGATACCCCCTTTTCCAGAGTTCACACTTGAGCGAAAGAAGGAGCGGAAAAGCCAAAGCATCGTCCGAAGCGTACAATCTGGCACGATGTAGAAAAGAGCATATCACTCCGGTCTTTTGTTGCCTAGTAGAGAACGAAGAGAAATCTTGAATGCATTGAAACACCAAGTCACGATCCATAGCAACCAGCTGGTTCTTGATCGTTGGAAAACAGAAAATCCCTGAACCGTCACCGAGAACACCAATGACACAACCAAGGTAGGACCACACATTCCCTTCACTCGTTTTTTCGAGAACAAGATTGTCATCATAGCAGAGACTGGAAGCAGAGATCAGCAGCCCAGCCTCCTGCACGGTCAACCCACCTTCCTCTTAACCTGCACAAAAACCGAAACATCATCCACCAGACGGAAGCCATGGAAGAACTTCCTATCAACACCGAGGCTGGAAGAAAAACAAACTCATTGTACGAACACAAGAGACAGGCAAGTGCCGGACTCGAGGATTTCCCCATAGGGATCCCAACCGTTTGGCGCAACAACCTTCCCGAAGCAGAGATAAACGTATTGTCCAATTCGAACTTCACAAACTCAATCACCATCTCCAACGAGACCCGTCGCCACCCAGGCTCGATTTTCCCTCGAAGAAGTTTCGCCCCTTTCCCCTGTGTTTTAACAGCAACTCCCCGAATGCCTTGATCAGCCCAATAGTCAAGAGCCCACCTTAACGCATTTAAGATCGACAAATGCGGCAGGTTCGAAAACATTTCCTTTACATCAAAAGAGGCCCCTATCACTACATCACCCTTACCCAAACGACAGTTAATCGCTCTAACCTCTTTCAACAGTCCATCAGCGCTGCGCAGGTTCAAATTGGAATCACTCGGCAAACTCCACAACAAACAGTTAACTGCTTTTGAAATAACCCGACCGCCAACAGCAGAGCACTCCGGATAGGAGGGACAGATGGGCCTCCACCGCGTAATATCTTTGTGCTTAGGAACACAGTACGCCCTCCCAATAGTACCAGACTTCTTCCACTTACTAACCTGATGCAGGGCCAACTCGGAGTAACCATCTGCACACTTATCAGGAACAATTCTCTCGTCCTCTCTAACCACCCAAAATGACGGATTACCAAAAAACAGCTTGCGCATTCCTTCTTGATAGACGACAGGGCAACAGACAAAGGTGTCTCCCATATTGTGATCGATCGGCACACAGACCAGGTCTTTCAACATCTGAAGAAAGGGAGCCAGATCATCCTCATTGACAGCCTTACAACCCAGACCAGTCTCAGAAACACAGTCGCGGATCATATCCCGAGTCAGTAAACCTGGATCAAAAGCCGGAATTGAAGGATGAGAGGAAAAAGCAAAGAGAATTGGCGACGCAAGACAGAGACAGTACTCAACTTCGACGGATGAAGCAGATTCCTCGAATTCTTCATCCAGGAGGGAAACAACTCAAAATCGTTCAATCGGAAAGCTACATGCCCGTCCATACGAGCAAACCGAGAGTCACAACCCACACAACTGCACACCACATCACTCATTTTCGAAAACTTTCGAAAATTATGCATGAAATCACCAACACAACGATTCCGACACCACACCACCCGCATGCGCCTCACCAGCATCCCCTTCCAGACCTCCGAAATATCCAAGGACATGATAATTTTAGAGCACACCTGACGAACTCCAACCTTAGAAACAGAGTCATCGTATACAATTCGACACACCAACCGCTTCCTCACGTGTAGTCCGAACCTTGACAAAATGTAGTGAGACAACAGACACCTCAGCCTAAAACGGGTTCGCTTCTCAGCAAAAGTCCTTACAGCAGTATAGGCCAAAATAAGCTGCTCCAGACCCCAAACTTTCAAAAGCTGGCGACTGCCCGGATTGCGCACAAAATCCACCAAAGGGGCTTTCAACTCCAATGACCGACACAGAAAGGGAACAACTACTTCAAAAGGCAAGGTCACACCACCCTTCAACCACCCGGAAGCATGACGTAACTCTCCTCGACCAAAACAGCAAGACACCAAGCTCCCACCATACAGCCGCTTCAACACTTTCCACCAATCAATACAGCGTTCGCCCCCTACGCACGAAACAACAATCTGATGAAAAGAATTACACCTACAGAATTCCAAGATCTTAAGCAAACTTGCAGAAACAATACCAACACTTGAATGAAAAATAACCAACGATCCTGACTGCACATCCCACAATTCCCTGCAGGGCGTCCCCCATCATCATGAGATCTCCTTCGTAATCTCTCTCTCAACCCAGGGCGCTTCTTCCTCGAGCGCCTCCGCCTATCTCTAGTGTTAAGAGCAGGGGACAACAGCCTAATGAAATACCTTTCAGTTCCCAACAGGTCATCCGGTTCACATCTACACAGTGGAACAATTACGTATGTATGAGATCCGCACCTCCGCAACCACCTGTACAGTCTCTCATTACGCCGACTACCATCACAAGCCACCGACTGACACGTACGATAGACGTGTTCTTCCCATCTCGTATGGACGTCCCTCCCCGTACTACCAATATACATATGCCTGGACCACGGGGATACCAACGCATAGACTACCGGCCCACTCCATTTGTCAGACTCACCACTTAGAAGTGCAGAAAGAAAGAACTCAATGAGCTTGCGTCCCCAAACAACCTCTCCCGCAAGGATTAGACCACAAACCGCAAAGCAGAACAAAATGGTCACCGCATTGCTCTTCAGAAAGTCAACAGACAAGGATCGAAGCCTACAACAAAGACGGACCAGTTCCCATAGATAAGCCGTGCTCGGGAGTGATACTAAGAGGTTGCCGAGTCATCACGGCCATCCGTCCTAGTCGCCTCCTCACCGTCATCGGTAACTACGATAGGCACCTCTTCCTTACCTTTATCGTTCTTACCACCGGGTTCGTCAGACGCCCGTGCTGCTCTTACGTGAACGATAGCCTCCTTCGTCGGCTCCAAGGTTGTATAAGTTACCCCTTCCTTTTCACAGATTCCCATGATTGCTTCCTTGTTTTTTCCACGAAGATCTCGTCGGTTGGCACAAACAAATGCATCCCTGTCAACCGATTTGGATGCTGACCCAGGAACAGCCTTCTCCTTGCCCTTCCGAGTTGAAGGCCCAGCCTCATTCTCAACAACCTTCTCCTTCGCGGCAACTTCATCTAACTTTGATTTCAAATTAGTACCACGCACAACAGTCTTTTTCTCCATGTCCAACTTCGCCAGCAATTCCTTGAGCCTTTCAACCTCTTCTTCAGATTCCTTGCGTGCATTCATTTCACTAATCCGCAACTTCTGCAACGCTTCAACCTCCATTTGGTGTCGTTCCACAATACCTTTGAGATCAATTTCCACGTGTCTCTTCGGTGTTTCCCCGGCAGTCGTACGCAACAGGAAACGAGCTTGAGAGGATGGAGTTGGGCCGACCGTGATGCAACCCCGCTTGTTCCCGGGACGAAGAGCCTCGGACTTCCATCTTTCTGCATTTTCCTCCGCTTCTTCACACTGGCGTTGCAGAGCCAACACCACCTCCTCAAGTGCAGACAATCTCTTCTCCGCAGCAGCTTTTGTCTCAGCCTGTTCACGACGTAACCGAGCAAGCTCCTTACCCTCCGAAGAGCGAGCCGCAACACTGGTAGACGCAACATCACCTCTCAATCTGCATTACATATCATTGACCGTAACCTTGAGTTTTGCCACTTCGTCCCCTTCATTCGGCTTCCGACCTTCGATTGCCTTGTACACCTTATCCAAGCTCTCCGTCAACTCAAGCCTCATCTGACGCTGGAACTCGTCACGGTCCTGTTTCTCACGCAAACGCCTATCCTCCTCATCTTTTTCACGTTTCTTCCGTTCGGCCTCTTCACACGCCGCACGCTCCTTTGCCTCATCCGCCTCGTGCTTCTCATAAATCTTGGCTTTTTCCTCCAATGTATAGACACGTTTCCCCAACCACCCGCCACCTCCAGTCTGCACATTGTGAGCTGGGACAGCCGTACCAACATTCGAATTGTTACTTGGAGGTAAGGTAAGTAGAGGGGCAGTACTGTTAGAGTTCTGATTGAGTCGGGGAGAGGACAGAAACGAGAGATATGACCATATTGACCACCGTTATAACACGAACGATTATCCACACTCTGATTGCTAGCCATAAGGGACGAAGTCACACAACGATAGTGCAATTCCTACGTCGGTTCCTTCGTGAGTTGAAGTATGTCGAGCACATGCAACGACAATGAGTGTGACACAAGAGTTAACAACAGTGACACAGAAGATGACCAAGGAAGCAGAAAAGATGGAGTCAGCAGGAGGAAGACAGGGAAGTCAACAGGAGGAAAGGGAGGAAAGAAACCAATAGAGAGCGACCCATGTCCCGAACACGACCTGTTTTATAAAATAATTGTGAAGCATGTAACATGGCGTATGACCCTACCGGTTTCACCTGGCCGCCAACCAGGATCATCAGGGGTCTTCGTAATCGTATCGGTGACATGGCTACTCCTACTGAAGACTAATATACTGACCAGCCACCGAGAACTTCTCGCTTCACAAGACACCGCCACCAGAAGTCGCATTCYACAAAACAACCAAGGCCAAGAAAAGACAAGAACCCTACACCGTATCACGACCAAGTGCAGAACCATCAAAAACAGCGCCAGACCTCCACCCAGGCCGACACCTAAAGCCCAGGCACCAGGTCTAGAGAAAATATCTTGGATCCTACAGAAAGGAGAGGCGTTCGAAACCTGTACTAATTCAAGAATACTAACATTAACGGGCCAAG